AGCTCACAGGCTTGAGCCGACCAGCTAGCACTCAGGGGGCCTGATTCTATTGTCCTAAATTCCCCTTTTTCCAACTTAACAATGGCATATCCAGATAATCGTTTACCTGTCACTATTCGTGATGACCCGTCTATAAATAATACTTCTCCACATTGTAGTTCTTCTTCTTCTAAATCTGGCCTAATGCGTGTCTGTTGTTCAATTGTTTGAAAACAATTGTGCAATAATTCATTACCTTCTCCTGGGTACAAAAATTCAGCGGGGTTAACTGCTCCAATAGTTTTCAAAGATAGTTTAGGGGACTCTATAAGTATTCCCTCATATTTTAATAATCGGCTATCTGTAAGCCATTTTTCTGCTTTTTGTTGTAACACTCCCCGGATGTTATGAGGCGCATATAAGACAACCTCTCCATTAAAGGTAATGCGATTTGTTTCCTCAAGTAATAAGGCAGCGGCCACAATGATTTGTAAACAACTTGGCCAACCCCTGCTCACAGGATCCAACAGCTTTGATAGATATGCCACCGGTTTCTTTTGTCCGGCCCATTCCTGAGTTAATACTCCGAATGCCGTACCTTCATGTATGTTAACAAATAAATGGAATGGCCGCTTTAAATCTGGTAAGCTTAAAACCGGTGCTTGGCTTAGTTCCCTTTTGAGATTGGCAAACTGCTCTTGATCTTGTGGGGTCCATTTGGGTAATTTGTCTTTAGACAGTTGTTCATATAAGAATTTAACTTTAAAGCTGTAGTTCTCTATCCACTGCCTACAATACCCAAATAGCCCTAATGCCTGCCTAATTTGCCTCTTAGTGACAGGCATAGGTAATTCCAGAATTCCTTTAATGCGTTCTGGATCCAATATCTTCTTGCCATTAAACAAATAATGTCCCAAATACTTCACCTTTTCCTCCACAAATTGTAACTTTTCCTGTGATACCTGTAGTCCTTTTTGTGCAAGAAAGTTTAGGAGTCGAATGCTTTCTTTTCTTACATCCTCCTTATTATTCCCTGCTATGAGTAGATCATCTACATATTGTAACAACACGTTTCCCATTTGGACCTGGTATTCCTTTAAGAGCTCTTCCAGGGCTTGTCCAAACAAATTAGGGGACTCCGTAAACCCTTGAGGAAGCACGGTCCATCTCAATTGTTGTCTACGGCCTGTCTCTATGTCCTCCCATTCAAAAGCAAAATAATCACGACATTCCTCTGCCAGTGGACAGGCCCAAAAAGCATCCTTTAAATCAATTACACTATACCAGGAATTATGGGGTCCTAGTTTACTTAACAATGTGTATGGGTTTGCTACTACAGGGAACCGGGTAATAGTTCTTTTGTTTATTTCTCTTAAATCATGTACGAGCCGATACTTCCCATTTGGTTTCTTTACAGGCAGAATGGGAGTATTAAAGGGTGACATACAAGGCTCTAAGACTCCTTTTGCCAACAATCGATCGATTTCTGGTTTTAATCCTCTCCGTCCTTCTAGGGAGATGGGATATTGTTTCACCCTCACAGGTATGTGGGGTTCGGAAATCTGGATCTTAATTGGTGGGATTTCCAGTCTACTTATTGTATCCGGAGAGTACCAGACATCGGGGTTAATTTGTTTTTGATCATCCACGGTCAAAGGATAAGTAGACACTGTTAGTTCATTATTTTTTACTTTAATTTCTAATTGCAATTCAACAATTAAATCTCGTCCTAACAGATTAAATTCTGCTTCAGGGACGAGCAAGAGTTCACCTATTCCAAATTTATTTTCAGTTTCGAATACTACATTTTTGATTTTGCTTACTTTAAAGGGTTCTCCTTTTGCCCCAATTACTTGTACTTTTTCAGGGGAAACTTTACATCCCTCAGGTATTTGCTTAATAGTTGATTTTTCAGCCCCAGTGTCTACTAAAAAGGTGAACTCTTGTTTATGGGGACCTATTCTTAATTTTATCAAGGGCTCATGATGACTCCGGTCCCCTAAGATATAGAGCCCCTGACTCCCCTATTCTGTTTTCAACATTTCCTCATCCCTGATCCTTTGTCTGCAATTCTTCTTTATATGTCCCTTCTTTCCACAGTAAAAACAATATCTCTGTTCCTTCTCTACTACTACATTCCCTTGTTTCGTTCCAGCAGATCTGTGTTCACCAGTTCGCCCTTTGCGATCCTCTCTGACCACTGCTACCATCATTTTTACTTGTCGCTTGCTGCTCTCTTCTTCCCGCCTTACATAAACTTTCTGAGCTTCTCTCAGTAATTCATCCAGCCCTCTATTCTGCCAGTCTTCTAACTTTTCAATCTTCTTTCTGATATCTTCCCATGATTTTGCCACAAACTGAGTTTTGAGGAGCGCTTGCCCTAAAGGGTCGTCTGGATTTACCCCAGAGTACAGCTGAAGGGCTTTCCTCAGTCGTTCTAGCCACTCAGTAGGGCTTTCATCTTTCTTTTGCATTTCATTAAATGCTTTATTGATATTCTGGCCACGGGGTACTGCTTCTCTAATTCCCTGAATTACTATAGTTCTCAGATCCTGCATATGAGTTCTGTGTACCGGATCTTGATTATCCCAATTAGGTCTTTGGAGTGGCCATTTAATATCTGCTTGGGGTCCCTGGACATGTTGAGCATCCCACAGTCTCATTCCTGCTCGTCTGATCATATCTCTTTCCTCAGTAGTAAATAATTGACCAAGGATAGATTGCATCTCATCCCAAGTATAAAGGTTTGGTCCCAAAAATTGATCTAATCTTTCTGCCACTCCGAGTGGGTCCTCAATTAAGTTTCCCATCTCGGTTCTTTTAAAATCTCGTAGGTCAGCCGAATTTAAAGGTACGGAAATATATCCGATCACAGGTTGAGGTCCCCCCATGGGTATTTCCCTTAGAGGGTACATCTGAGCTGCCCCTTTTTGACTTCTAGTTACGCGTCTAGGAAGAGGGGGAGACTCTTGTTCCGACTCTGGTGGGGGAGTGGATGCTCTGGGGGCCTCTGGAGGGGCTGTGGGAGCAGGAGGAGGAATATAAGGAGGGGGGGTCAGAAGGGTTTCATCCAATTCTTCCTTCTTTTTCTTTAATTTAGTTTTCAGTTCATTCAATGGATAAAGTCTAGTTCCTGGTTTTTCCAGCCAGACTTCTGCATATTGACTCTCCTCTGGGTTAAGGGTTTTTTTACTATTAACCCAGAGGTTTAATAGCTGTCTTACCCAATCTTCTTCTGACCCATAGACTGGCCAAAAGACATTTTTAAAAATCTTCTTCCCTCCCCATATCTTAGTACAATATTCTATCATCTTCTGCTTATCTTTCCCTTGGGTTCCAGGGAAATATTTCCAATTATCTAAGATATACGCCAGAGGGGTATTCTTAGGTACAGTAGGTACCCTTCCCATGGGAGCCGAAGGCTTGCTGCCCTTCGCCCCCATCTTCTGGAATATCCACAAACACACACTCAGTCACTCCCCTTGTTCCTGGCCCAGTCCCTCGCGGGAGATGGAAAACGCAGTACTTAAGGGTCCACACTCGCTTGGTTCAGTATATCGAACCTCTCATTTGTTATATTCCAGGAAACCCAATCCCGCCCGAACGGCAAACCCACGAAAAATTTCGCAATATACTTACGCGTCCTGCGTCTTCGTCCGGACTCCTGTGCACAGAATTTTATGGGATTTTACCGGTTTCTCCTTTGCTCATTATTCTAGAATTTAGGTTCGTCGGTAAGGTTGGGGTGAGCTGTTGGTCGCGGGGCCGCGAAATGTCGCGGGGCGCCTCCCCGGAGGACCAAAGCCCACCGTTCCTTATCCGAGTCACGGCACCAAGTAATTGTTATAAATTGGGACCACAACGGATCATAATCCAATTGAATTTTATTAATTATAGCAAGTAGAATATGAGCAAAGACAGCGCTGGACGACAGGGGAGTCTGTGCTCCGACAACTGCCGTGCTGAACAGTTCTAACAGTCCCTTTTTATCAGTCCTCCAGTTCCGCATTCGTATCTTCAACGGAGTACTCTGCGCATGCCCCAGTTGCTTGAGGCTGAAGGCTTGAAGTCCTCCTCGGTTACCTTTAGATATCCTTTTCCATATATGGTCTTCAACTTGCTGTGCAATAATTTTTAGAATTATTTTGCAAAAGCCCTTAGTAAGCGTCTTGCGGTTTGTAAGTAATTTTGGTGTCAATTTATGCAAGTAAAGCACTTAAGCAAAGCAATAGTTGCCCCCACCCATATGTCTGCCAGTTTTTTAGAACATCTTGCAGATATTTCCTCAAAACTTGCAGATATTTCCTCAAAACTTGCAGATGTTTCCTCAAAACTTGCGCAAGCGGTGTCTGGTTTAATCTGCACAAGCGACCACGGTTATCTTTTCTTTTGTTGTCTAATCTTTACATCAGGCTTAGCATAAATCTTAATAAACAATACCATAGTCCCTAGTTTTTCACAAGGGGAAGCTGGGAAGAAGCAGAGACAGGACACCTGACCCAAAATAACCAAAGAGGTATTCCATACCACAGCATGTCATGCCCAGTATATGAACTGGGGGCAGGTATCCAGAAGGGCTAGATCATTGCTTGGTTCAGGCAGGGTATTGGTTGGTGGATGATAAGCAATTGTATTGTCTTCCCTTGTTATTTCCCTTATTATTATTATTGGTGGTAGCAGTAGTAGTTTTGTGTTATACCTTAGTTACTAGACTGTTCTTATCTCAATCCGTGGGAGTTACGTTATTTTTGATTCTCTTCCCCATCCCTCTGGGAGTTGGGGGAGGAAGGTGGGGGGAAGTGAGTGAACGGCTGTGTGGTTCTGGGTTGCTGGCTGGGCTTAAACCATGATGCTAGTGATGAGTGTGTGTTATACCCATATACTCACAAACTACTGGTCTACCAATTCCAGTTAATTAAAGAATTTCAAAGACTTGAAGATCATACTATCTCCTCGGTCAGACATCTGAGGCTTCTGGGTCTAATTTGGGAGTAAATTCATAATTTTTTTCCCCTTTCTTCAGAACTGAGCTGTGCTTCATGTTACTCTGGGAAATCGTTCCAATGTGCCAATAGTTGTAGATGGGAAGGATGTTGTTCCAGAAGTAAACAAAGTGTTGGACAAAATGAAGCGCTTCTGCCAGGTATAAAGTACTGCCATGTTCTGTTGGGTTTGTTTTTTTTTTTAATGTAATTATACTATACCCAGCCAAGTTCTTATGTGTATTGTGAAGCACCGATTGTGGGCTAGGTCACATGAATTGTGCTCTTGTTTGACGTTAATAATAGGTCTGGCTCAAAAATGGGATTGGAGCTGGTTTTGGTATGATTTACTCCTTTATGTATTTTTGTGGGTGTTTTGTGTGATTTTTGTTTTTTGTTTTTTATTGTTGTGCTCTCCAGATTTTGTTCTTTTCACAGTAATCTTGCACTTAGTTCAGAAGTTTTGTAAAGCATTAAGTACCATTCAAATATTGCTTTATTTCTTGCTAATTTTTCAATTACTTGCCTCTATCAAGTAGAAACTCTATTTTTTTGCAAAATTCCTTTATGAGTCTATTCTTTGCAGCTTTAGTGGTGTAAAATTTTTGTTGTTTCCTAGTTAAATACAGCAGTTGAGCATTATTGTCAAATATCATTCATTATTTTGGGAGTTTTTTTGATTCTGTATATCTTTAAAATGTAGGTATATTGTCAAATCAATGGAGGAAATGCTCTGAAGAACTTAGTACTGTACCAAAGTCAAATTTGTGTCATAAAACTAATCAGTAAAAGTTCACCAAATAATAGTTTTGGTGCATTAAACATGGCTCTGAGGTGTGAAGTTGATTGTTATCCTGGTGGTAATGGCCTATATCACTGCTAACTCATATTTGTTAACCTATACAAAATGAGCCTGTACTATGTCCAGTTCCTAATGGATAAATGCCAAAACAACAATAACTGATGCCAATTAGTTTGAATTTGGTAGTTTCTTCAGGTAATGCTAGAACTGAATTGGCCACTAATTCAGTGGTGTGTTTTCCACTGTAGAGCTTTTAACTGATTAAGGTTTTTTTGATAGTGCAAACCAAGTTTTCACTGGTGCCACCCTCATTTGTTGCTAGATAGTTTCAGTTATCAGAGCCTGTGATTATCACTTCCCATGCAGCTGTATCTTCTCTGCAAAATAAGTCACATTAAGCAGTTTGCTTGGAAAGATTAATGAAGATGCTTGTTTCGGTCAACTTGCGTAAGCAGGTGGTATTTTAAAACATCTTCAGGTTACAGAAATGGTATATACTAAGAGTGCATTCTCTGTAAGATTTAACTTAAACATCTGTGGAGAAGGAGAGCAGCATCAGTGTAACCAGGTGATTTGTTGAAGAATCAATTTAGAATTGGGGAAGTTATGAAGAGTGCATGATACTAGAAAGATTAATTTGGATTGGACAAATTTAATGCATAGGGTGTTACCTGATGGGCAAAATCCAATGCAGTGTTTTGATATTATTTAATGATTGTAATTTTGTTTGTTAAAACTCTCAGTGACTGTTAAAGTTACAAGAATAGAGCAGAAACCTGCCCAGAAATACACCTTAATGCAAGCATATATGCACAAGAGAAGCCTTTTGAATGTTTGGTTTGCCAATAAATCTCTATCTCCATTGCTTTATTCATATTTTAATGTCTTCCAGTTAGCGAAGGTTTTTTCTTTCTAATTAAAGACACTTAACCCCCTCAGGTTCTGATATTTGTTACAAATAGCTCAGTGCCCAATATTTTATTCATTTTTTTAGTCTGATTTCTTTTGCCTTTGCTAACACTGTTGTGAATGCTATAGCAGTTCACACAGTTAGATACTGCAGTATTTTTAAATATGTGCATTAGACTTCTAACCCTTAATAAAGGGTTATCTTGGATATAACTGAGCTAAGAAGGTAGCTTTGCGTGTAGGCTTTAAAGTCTGGAAGCTTGAAAGGTCTCTTCAGAGACTTACTATAACAGTACCTGAAAATACAGCATTTCCAGTGTTAGAATCATTAACTTAAGTATAAAATAGTCATGGCAATATTCTTACAGCGAGTCCGTAGCAGTGAATGGAAAGGCTACCCTGGAAAGGCAATCACTGATGTGGTCAATATTGGTATTGGTGGCTCTGACTTGGTAAGCTGACTTCTATATATCTTCCACATCTTTTTGTGTGTATATATGCTTGCAATGAAGATAAAATTTTGTTGCTTCTATACAGGACCCTCTGACAGTAACTGAAGCTCTGAAACCATATTCCAAGGCAGGTCCTTGATACAGGGTTAACCAATGTACAAGGGGGGTTGTACAAGGGGGTTAGAGGAATTCACTTGCTTAAATTAAAGTATTGTCTGTACCTATCACGCCTACTAAGCAGAACAAAGGCACTAACTATTGATAAGGAAAAGCAGACACCTGGTTCTATTGACAAGGAAAAGCAGATGCCTGATTCTACTGATAAGCAGCTATTGATAAGGAAAAGCAGATGCCTGAAGGGGGAGAAGCAGATGGTTTATGGCTGGGACACTGACCAAACCCTAAAGCTGTACATGAAGACTAAAAGGTGAAAAGTTCAAGAAAAGGAAGACTCATTTATTTAATCTTGAAGACCCCTACTCACAGGAGGAAGACTCATTTACTTCATCTTGAGACCCCTGCCCCTGACCAGAGGGGCACTGTGCAGGCGCAAAGGACCCTCTAGCTCATTATAATACGTAGCAGGGATAGGACATGAATATGTATAGGCGTATTGTGCAACCTTAATAAATGTAGAGGGAAACAACACTGAGGTACACATGACTTTGAGGAATTATCCCTGTGCGTCTCAGCACTGAATAAAAAGTATACCTACTTTACAACTTTAACGAATTGTTGAGTCAATCCGCGTATCAGTTTGGCGAGCCAGCCAGGAGATCTCTGTTGGGCTGCTGGATCGGCTGAGGGGTGGACATCCTAGGCGCCCCAGGCCGCTTGCCTGGAGGAGCTCTGCTCCTCATCCGCTCACTGTGAGGACAGACAACAACCTGTGCCGGTATGCTTGAAATTTAGGGTAGGCAAACCCACCAGGTCTCCACTGCATCTCAAACTCTGGGAACCAGGATGGACCTGCTACCATAAGAAGCAGGAGAAGGGTAAGGCGGAACCATAGTGTGAGTGTGTGGGATCCCATGTGTAAGTGTTTGTGTTTCTGTGTGGCTGAGACATAGCATAGCTGTGAAGCGAGTGTGGAGTCCTGATCTGCGGTTCCATGTTCTCTACGAGGAGAGCGGCTTTGTTTTGTGTTGTGTCTGTCTTTAGTGTTAAAGATTATGGTGTTTAAGCGGTGGGGGAGGAGTAGACAAAAGTAAACTGTGGCTAATGGGGGGGTTAAGAAGAGTTCCCTCTCTGCGCCCTGGTGGCTGTATAAGAGAAGTATAACCTCTAATATCTGTAGTCCTACTCTTGAGACCTGGACTTTACACTCAGCACCAGAGGCTTGTAGCCTCACATATGGGTGCATAATAACTTTTGAACAGTGGAACCTGCTGTGGATATTAGGACAGTGTAAATTTTGCTGGAACCGAAACTATGATCTAACAACAGGGGAGTTGATCTGCAGAACCCAGAGATACTATTTTACTGAACCCCCTGAGAATATCATAAAACTTGTGTGTAGGTGCTCTCATATTTTGAAGTGCATTTGCAGAGCACTGGGAAAGAGAAGCTATAGAGATTTGCAAAAGATTGTTTCAAATGGGAGCTGGTCAAAACAAGGGAATTCTGAAGAAAAGCCCATTGGGTTACATTTTGGCACATTGGAAAGAACTGGGAGGGTCTTCTGGGGGCTCAGTAAACAAGAAAACATTGATAAAATATTGTAACCAATGTCTGTTTTTAGTTAGACTGTTGCTAACTTAAAAGTTACAATTCTCCACTCCTGTAATTTTGCATGATGTACACCCCTGTTATTTTTAATTTTTAAAATTTGATATGAAACTTCTCTGGATAAAGTTGAGTACTTGATGCGTACGTATGGAATATCAGGTCCTGTGTGCAGGTGTATCTTTTTATAAAGTCTGTGATGTTCCTATCTGTGTATGAATTGTATCTGTAAAAACATTGTGAGTGTAAAAAGCTTGCATTTGAAAAGTTAATTGCCAAGCTTGTGATTGTTTATTAGATTGGGGAAAGTTTTAATTGGGATTTTGGTGTGAAGTCTCTGAAGTTAAGTAGCAGAGGACAGGTATTAGCCCCCTATTTATTATATGATCATACATTCAGGAATGATATGGAAAGAGAACAGTGTGTCAATGAAATAGCTCTTTCCCATGGTCAATACTTGAACTTCCATTTCATCTATAAAGAAACAGTGATATTAATTAAATGTGTTTGATTTGCCTTGCCAGACTTGGATTGCTCTGGAGACTGCTAAGCATTTTTCCAATTTGATATGGAATTTTCCCTTGCTTGGATTCCCCCTTCTGTTTGTCATGTGTCAGGGTTTGATAGCAGTTCTTTAAGGATGTTTGATGCCTAAGACAGAGGATCCTTTATGGCAGTGTGTACATGTATAATTTATTTATTTTAAATTTGTCAGATCAGAAAATGGGGCTACAGCTCCCATTGTCTGGTAATTCTTAGTGAATTTAATTATATAAAGCAATGAAAATGGTTGAATTGTAGGAGGAGATTAAAAAAAACACATCTTAATCTCATAATGACATGTCTCAAGCTGGGCATGGGGAGGTTTAGTCTGGGTATTAGGAAAAATTTCTTCACCAAAAGGTGATCAGGCATTGGACCAGGCGGCCCAGGGAAGTGATGGAATCAGTGTCCCTGGAAGTGTTCAAAAAACATTGAGATGAGGCCTTTAATGACATGGCTTAGTGGTGGTTTTGGCAGTCCTGGGGTAATGGTTGGACTTGATGATCTTAAAGGTCTTTTCCAACCTGGTTAATTCTACAATTCTGTGATCAGGAGAAATGGCCTAAAAATGGAACTCTGAATTATAATACATTGTTACAATTAATGTTGGTTTTGAGGTGGCCAGGAAAATGGGATGAACTAAGATATATGGATTCACTTTCAGAAACCACCTGGAGTGGCAGACATAATGTGAAATTAATATAGCTCTGCCAGATCCCTAATTTGGGCTTTGGAAAAGGACAGGGAAAAACAGAAAGCTAAGCTGGAGAGATGTTGTTCAGCCTGTGATATTGGGGTAATGAAATAAATAGGAAAATTATATATCACAGGTACCTCTGAGAGGAGCACCCTCTATATCTGTCTTATCAGATATTGATAAGGAGGAGGAGACTGCTGTCACTGGCAACAAGCAGCACATTCACATTAAACCAGAAGTGCTGTTGCACAGACAGGCATCTGTAACCCCTGCAGAGCAGGGTGAGCAGCTGTGAGAGAAAAAAAAAAAAAGGAAAACCAAGGGGGAAAGGAGGGGAGCTTGCTCGGCTCCTGTGTTTGAGCATGGGATGAGTGCTGGGGCAGGCAAACCAGTGGGAACATACGGGACTGAGGGCTTGTTGAATAAATGTGGACAGGAGTGAACTAGGTCGTGCTATAGCCACGGCTGTGGTGGTTGCTTAGAAACTGGTGGAGGAGGAATGTCGGGCCAAGGTGGGGTAAGTGGATTCTTCTCCCATGGGATGGGATTGGTGTTTGTGTGCTGTGGGGAGTTTTGGATGTTGGAAGTGAGACTGCCCTGGGGGGGAGTGCCATGGGGTGGCTCCGGTGGCTAAATTGGAACTAGACTGACAAGGGACCTAGGTTATCTACCCTAGCAGATCCACTGGTTAAATTAAATCTATGGACTAGAGAAAATAAAGTGGAATTTTAGTGGATACAGGAGCAACTTATTCAGTGTTGAATTAGAGGGAAAAGAATTTGTTACAGATGTGGGAGCTACTGGCCACCAAGGAAAAGGAAAAAAAAAAAACAATTCTTAATTGAATGTGAATTGGAATATAATACTCCTATCTTGCCAGTAAAGAAAAGTTGCAGATTGATTCAAGATCTCGGGAATCAACAAATTTGTAGAGGATATTCAGTAGTAGCTAATTCGTATACCTTATTGACTAAATTGAATCAGAAATGGTTTGCCATCTTGGATTTAAAGGACTCTTTCTTTTGCTTACCATTGGCCAAAGAAAACCAGAATTTATTTGCTTTTGAATGGGAACATCCTGACACAGTAAGGAAAACCCAATTAACTTGGACAGTATTACCTAAAGGGTTTAAAACAGTCCAATGATTTTTGGAAATCAGTTAACACTGGAACTAGGATCATGGAAACCACCCACTCAGATGGGGACTCTGTTACAATATGTGGATGACCTATTAATTGCCACAGAAACAAAGGAAGCATGTGTCCAGTGAATGGTGGGATTATTGAATTTTCTGGGACTGAATGGTTATTGGGTAACCAGACAAAAGGCCCATCTAATCCAAGCCCAAGACTCCTACTTAGGACATGAAATAACAGGACAGAGAGAACTTGGAACTGCTAGAAAAGAAGCCATTTGTCAAACTCCATGACTGTCGACCATCAAGGAGCTCCAGACGTTCCTGGGAATGACTGGATGATGCAGACTTTGGGATGCATGGTTATGTTGTTCTGGTAAGACCCCTATATGAACGGTTAAAAGAAACCCCTCTCTCTTTGGAATGGACTGATTCAGCAGAGGAGGGCTTTAGAAATTTAAAAGTAGAGCTAATGAGAGCTGCAGCTTCGACTTCTGGATGTGACTAAATCCTCTTGGCTATATTCCTATGAAGAACAGGGAATAGCTTTGGTGGTCCTTACTCAGAAACTAGGACCCTGTAAGAGGGCAGTGGTGTATTTTTCAAAACAGCTGAATGAAGCGAGCAAAGGATGGCCTGGATGCCTAAGAGCTGTGGCAGCAGTTGTCATGAATATTGAAGAGGCTCGCATATTTACCTTGGGACAAAAGATAACTGTACTAACGTCCCATGTTGTATCAGCATTCCTGGAACAGAAAGAAGCCCACTGGTTATCTCCTTAATGTTTTTTAAAATAGCAGGCCACCCTTGTGCAACACGATGATAGAGAAATTGTGGTCACTAATGTTGTGAATCCAGCATCCTTTTGCAGGAACAACCAACAGAGCTATTAACACACGACTGCTTGGCCACTACATGAAACTGTATATTCAAGTCAACCAGATTTGAAAGAAACCTGGAACGTGCCCTGGAATTGGCTAAAGACAAAAGGATAAATATTTGGACTGATTCTAAATATGCATTCGGT